TGTAGGTGGCAAAACTCACCTGAGTGTTTACTCAGCTTCCTAGATAGGTCCTGCAGTCTATGTTAGCACAGTTATACTGCTAACAGTTCCCATAGGATGTTGTGTAGTAAGGATTCACCTGGGTGGGGTGAGGCCTCAGGGCTCTCAGTGATGGAGGGGTGTGTTGTATGTTGGACCACTGCCTCACTTGTAGAAGTCAGAATGTAGTGAATGAGGCAGGGGGTTGCCGTACAAAGTGGGGGATGATCTCACAACTAGGGAAATTGACTGACACTTTGCAGAACTGGATTCTATCCTTGCCTCTACTACAGAGTTCCTACATTATGTTGGGCAACTTACTGAAATCAAAATGTCCCCCATGAGCCACTAATGGAGTGTTCCTCATTATCTGCATGTCCAGTGTGAGACAGCTGTGTTCAGATGTGCACGAGTGCTGGGAGCTCACAGCTGCAACTGGAGTCTACTGGAGAAGTGGTCTAAACATACTGAAGTGCTCTAGAAAGGCTAAGCATCCCCCCCAAAAAATACAAACTGAGTACACACAAATTAGTGGCCTCTTCCAAAAACGTTAACCTCAAAAGTCTTTGAGTTCAGTTACCCATCAGCAGAACTGGGAGGTTTATCTCAGAGGGTGTTGTGAGGATATACTGTCTAATGTTTATGAAACACTCAGCTACTGTGGTGAAAAAACAACAGAAATATCACAGAGGAAATTATTATTCACTGCAGGGCTTAAATTGTATGCAAAAAAAAAAAGGCCTGGAGTCAGGCAATGAATGAAGATAAAAGAATTATTATGGGGAGAGGCTGAGGGAACTGGGCTTATTTAGTCTGCAAAAGAGAAGACTGAGGGGGAATTCAATAGCAGCCTTCAAGTACCTGAAGAGTGGCTCCAAAGGGGATGGAGCTAGACTGTTCTCAGTGGTGGCAGATGACAGAACAAGGAGCAACGGTCTCAAGTTGCAGCAAGGGAAGTTTATGGTGTATATTAAGAGAAACGTTCTCACTAGGAAGCTGGTGAAGCACTGGAATGAGTTACCTAAGGAGGTAGTGGTGGAATCTCCATCCTTGGAGGTTTTTACGGCTTGGCTCGACAAAGCCCTGGCTGGAATGATCTACTTGTGGATGGTCCTGCTTTAAGCATGGAGTTGGACTAGATGACCTCCTCAGGTCTCTTCCAACCATAATTTTCTATGATTCTATTATTCTAATTACTAAATAACTCATTCGCTGAGTAAGGACAAGTTTTTATGTGCAAAAAACTAGCATGGGACTGTGTAATTAAAAGACCTGATCCTAACTAAAAGACTAGATCCAGTCCTGATTGAAGCACTGGCCTCATCCTAGAGGGCTGTCTCCAGTGGTGTACCCCAGGGATCAGTGCTTAGGCCCATGCTTTTTAATATCTTTATTAATGACTTGGACAAGGGAGTGAAAAATGCAATGATTAAGTTTGTGGATGATACCAAACTGTGGGGATAAGCAGGCACATATCAGAGGACAGGTCAAGGATTCAGGACAATCTTGACAGACTGGTCCTATGGACTGAACAAAACCAGATGAAGTTCAACAGGGACAAATGCTGGGTCCTTCATCCGACTAGAAAGAACCCTCACCATATCTATACGATGGATGGTGGTCCACTGGCTGGCACCACATACAAAACGGACCCAGGAGTGACAATCAACTGGAAGATGAATATGAGCCACCAGTGTGACAAAGTCACCAACAAAGCAAACAGAACTCTGGCGTGCATCAACAGATGTGTCGCCAACAGATCCAGAGAGGTTCTCCTGCCCCTCTATTCAGCGTTGGTTAGGCCACAGCTGGAGTACTGCATCCAGTTCTGGGCACCACACTTCAAGAAGGATGTGGACAAGCTCAAAAGGGTGCAGAGAAGGGCCACATGCATGATCAAGGGCCTGGGGAACAGGTCCTATGAGAAGAGACTTTGGGATCTGGGACTGTTCAGCCTGAGCAAAAGAAAGCTGAGAGGTGTCTACAAATATGTCAAGGGAGAACACCAGGACCTAGGTAAACAACTTTTCAGAAAAGCCTCCCCCCCGGGAAGAGGCTGACTAATGGACACACGCTAGTCGAGGAAAAGTTTTGGCTGGACATAAGGAAAAACTTCTTTTCTGTACAAGTAACTAGAATCTGGAACACACTTCCAGCAGATGTGGTACAGTCACCATCTCTGGCGATCTTTAAAAGGAGGCTGAACAAATACCTCACTGATCTCATTTGAGCCTAATTACCTCTTGCCCATTGCAGGGGACTGGACTTGATGATCTTATAGGTCCCTTCCGGTCCTTCTTTCTATGATTCTAATGCTGATGCATCAAGAAGGAATTAAGCCATAGCAAGTTTAAATCTGTTATTTCCTAACTTTTGAGTTATTCACTTTACAATAAAGTATTTAACATGCAATACAGAAATATTGCAATAAAAGTTATAAGTAAAATAACAACAACTCTGCCAATACAAATCTCTTGAATTGACATCAGAAGCCACAATTTGCAACAAGCAGTTTCTCCCACTGCAAAGGATGCAAATTGCAGCTCTCTACCTAATTAGAGAGGCCTGCTCCACAGCCCTGTGACGTCACTGGTAGCTTATATCCGACAGAGGCTATGATATACAGCCAAGCCCTCAGATACCACCAAATCTATACTGAGGAGAACTCCCAAGATTCTCACCAAACTTAAACAGGGTTTCACCCAACAAGGACACCTCTCCATAGAGACAGATTGCATGTTTGAAAGAGCCACCCAGACACCACATGAAGAATTTCTGCAGTACAGAAGAAAACCCCCCATGAATCGCACACTGCTGGTTATGACATATCACCCCTCCCTTGAACCCATAGAGAAAATCCTCAAATAATTACAACCCATACTAAAAAGAGACCCTATTCTTAAAGAGATCTTCCCAAAACCACCCATCCTACCCTTCAAACAAGCACCAAACCTTACTAAACTCATTACCAGAAGCAAACTTCCTCAGGCCCAGAACACACCGAATGGATCCAGACCATGCCATGACAAGAAATGCAAAACCTGCCAACACATCTCTACCACCCCCACAATTACTACACCCCACAACAGAGCCATCAGCATCCCTGGATACAGCTGCACCGCCAGAAATGTCATATATCTCATACAATGCACCAAATGCCCTGATGAAAAATACGCAGGAGAGACCAAACAACCAGACATCTCTCAAAGACGAGAATACCTAATTACCTGTGGAGACACATTTCTCACAAGAAAACCACTCCCTCTCCAATCTCTCAGTTCTAATCCTCAAAAGGCACTTACAAAACACTTCTCAGAGACGAGCCCATGAACTTCACTTCATTAACCTCCCAGATACAAAAAATCATGGGCTAAATATAGACATTGGATTTATGACACATTAAACTACCTGACATCTGACTCCCCCAGGTACCTCTCCACTATTTAGCTGCTACATTCATCCCCCTTTTTCCCCCCACCGACTCCTCAAGTTACATCTTCACTGACTGCCTATCTTGCATGAATACCAGCCTCTGGCTTCTTTACTATTCATTCCATCCAGAAAGAGCACACACCAACTGCAGAGACTTCCCTCAGCCTAATGAAGGGTTTTTAAATCTGAAAGCTTGCTAAAAAAAAATTCCAACTATTTAAGTTAGTCTAATAAAAGATATCAAATTCAACCCGAAAAACCTTGTCTGCCTATATCACACATACATACATTTTGGTGCAGCTACACTGATCACTGCAATCAAGTAATTTCAAGTGTGGACACTGACTTAAAAGCTTCTGTTTTTCTCCCTACATATGCACACAGAACTAGGATGGATGACAGGCAGCAACAAAAATGTTTTAAATAACATGTGTTAATTGCAGTTGCTATTGCATTTTGTCATGTGCTATTCTTTCAGCATATTATAATGGCACACAAATACAACAAAAGAAAAACATTTAAACCCCCAAAATATTAAACTACGAATGTACATTTAGAAGAGTTGAAAAAAAGGATTATAGTTAAAGCAGGACAAAAACTAAGGAAAATATTTTCAAAAAAAATTCAGAAACTGTTGTCAAATACTAAAATCAACCAGCTCTGGTTGCTCCAAATATCTTGTGCCTTGGTTCCCATTTAAAATAAGTGCCTCTTTGCAGTATTTTGGAAGCTTAAATTAGCTTGAAATTTGACACTATTTCATGGTCAAAACAGTGTAAATGGACTTTAGTGGATACATGTATGTGAGATGTTTACCACAGAATTGCCTAATTAGCTCCACAGTAAAACCTCAATGTCTGCACATGCAGCTCTATTAGGCCACAGGAAACTAAATTAACTCTGCCACTAGTTAGTACTTGTAAATACAAGTATTATCCTATGGCAGAGTTCTTTAGTGCATAGCAGCACACATGTAGATGCTGGCAGGGCCGACTGGGGCATGAGGGTGCTTCAGTGCAGGGGTGGCCTGCCGACTAGCCCCACACTGGAGCACCCTTATGACCCAGCTAGCCCCTCCACAGCACATTGAGCCTGGGCTTGCAGGCTGACCCCTGGGCCTCCTGCCAGCTGGGGCTGCTCCAGCCCAGCTCAATGCGCTACAGTCCTGGGCACAAGTTCAAACATAGCACCTGTGAGCAAAACTGCGGTGCAATATGAGCCAGAGTTTATTCCTCCATGCTATGTTTAGAGCATTGGTTCTGTGTTAATTGTACATCATAGATGCATCCAGTATAAATTAAACTTGCACCTCTTCTCATATTTTCCAACTATTCTTAATGTTGTTTCTGTTCATACACTGCACACTTATTTTTCACTTAGCAGACTGAAGCTCCATAGTAATCCAGACCTAGAGCATCAGCAGATTTTGGAACTCTCATTGGCTTGTACTCCAGACCTTTGCCTAAAAGACTGGAATGTAGATCAGTCTCTGTGGACTACACATCAAGTTGTAGCCCCTGCATATTAAACAACTCCCCTCAGTAACTTACCTCTGAACTTCTTGGGAGGGTTAGCAAGGTCCCCTGCCTCTGGCTGAACCACACATCTATCATCCACTAATCTAGAAAAACAAACATTTTAAATGATTATACATCTATCACAGGCAACTGCGTGTCCGATTGTATATACATATCCATGATACTACATAGGTAAAGCAATTTACATACATTTTCATTTCAAGTCAATCATATAAAAAATATCACACACACCATTGTTTTTCCTCTAAAGTATCTGTGCTCTCCCCTTATAGAAGAGGCTTTGTTTTATAGCACCCATTTAAAGCTGGTATTGAGAACTATCTTTGTTTAAAATAGGGTTAAAGTCCCTTTCATAACAATGTTTGCATTAATACTATGTGTGAAAATCTTAATTCTGAACATTAGATTGTCTACCTCAGCTGGAAAAGGGGTGGGGGGGAGTGTCTGAAAGTCTCACAACCAAGCTCCTGACTCCTGATGCAAAGTCCTCCCAAGTCAATGGAAAGACTCCAGTCAACCTCAGTGGACTATAAACTACAGCCTTAAAGAGTCATTTTGGGCAGTTAGTATTGCACCATACACAGAAGAAGGAAAAGACAGGCAGTGCTACATCTGCAGTACCATGCTGACTTGGGCCCCCGTGCCGCAAGCTATTCCATGCATGCAGATCCCTGCACCTTAATGACCCCCACTTTAAAATAATCAATTGAAGCTTCTTGACGCTCCAGGTGAACCAGTTTACAGTAGCATTTCCCAAATCTGGAGCACACCCTCTGGGAGAGGCATGAAGCGTTCCTAAAAGTGTCCCCCTACTCAGCCACCACTACTGCTTTTCCCTGCCACTCTTCTCCATGCCTCTGACTGCTGCCAGCAATGGGAATCAGTGGTGGAGCAAGCTGCAGTAGCAGCTGAATTAAGGGGGTGTGGGAAGGCCCAATTTTACTACAACAGGGTGTAAACCCACAAGGTTTAGGAAACACTGGCTTATATATAACTGGACCATGTGACCTGTGGTGACTTGCTGTTCCTCAGTACCCACTCCTAACCTCAGGGTGAAAGCAAGAATGAAGCTTTATTCTCTTCCTGGAAGAAAAAGAGTAGAGGATGAAACACCCTTTACAAGTATAAATAACCCCACAGATGTTACTATTTCAAGCTTATATGATAGTATTAGAGTTTGTAGGTTCTGCAGGTCACATTTACTTGGAGGTCAAATAGCAGCGTTCACTTGAGCAGGTCTGGTATTTCAAAGGTTAAAAGCAGCAGGAAGACACGTACGTTTAATGAAATGCTGATGATACCTGATGCACGGAAGTACCCTATAAAAATACTACAGTATCTGTCAAACATTAATTGAATGCAAATGCTAAATATTAAAGCACCCAAATACATTGCCTTATACATACATTATGGTGGAAAAAATGAGGAAGATCTGTGAAAAGAAGCTGAGCAATTCTGTCACAAAAAAGAAACAAAATAACATTTATCATTATTCATCAAGAAACACTGTTCATCATATGCATGAGTAAACTGAATCTAAATTAAAGTCTCAGATTTACAGGCTAACTTTAAAGAGAGTATAATTCTTTGCATTTATCAAGTGGTCTGAGATCTTCAGATAAATGGCCCTATAGAAACGTGAATGAACTGAATGTCACAATGCCCCATGTGAGAGAACCAGCTGCTCCTATCTCCTCTCTATTGATTGCTCAGATCTTACATGAACTGCCCAAGGTCCCAAAGCTCCTCAGTGAAAGCACCAAAATTAGAATGCAGGGATCATGCCTCTCAATCAACTGTCCTAGCCATTAGACAGCATCCCTTCTCAAGGTAGTGCTCTTAAGAGCAGCAGTCAAATGCCACCTGTTCTACATACAAGAGGGACAGGCAATAATCTGAGCTGTTACAGTGACTGATGATAGAATAGAACCCAGGGCTGCAGTGGCAAAGTTGTCCTAGGTGCATGTATCCTACTACTGGACCTGATTTAATAGCACACTAGCATGTAAGACTCCCACTAAATTAAAGGACTGTGGGATCAGGATTGTTACCCTGCTATACTCTCCTAATTTTTCAGTCTTAACACTTCAGTTTTCTACTTCACACCTTCCCTTTTTCCTGTAAATAGGCATAAGTATGTAATATAAAGATCTAAATCTTTGATCACAGATTACAATTCTCAATTTTAATATGGATTCATATAGTTAATAAAAAAAATTAAGTGGTGCTTATAATGTGTTACAACTTAAATAAACAAGAAGATTAAAAAAGATCGTAAACTACAACTAACAGAGAGCCTATTAAGCATGGCACCACACTTCCTAAATATAAATTTAATTTTCCTTCAGGAAGTATATTGTAAATACTGGGTCTATTTAAAACAATTATACAGGAAAATAATATTTAAGTATATGATGCCATACTGTCACAAGTTAATAGTAGCCCTTGTGAGCTCTTTAGTGGGAATGCATCATAACAAACAATGTATGGGTCAATCAAATTAAAGGCCAGTTTCTGCATGCATTCAATTTGGTAGGATTAGGATAGTACACATGAATTTGCTACATTAACAAGCTCCTAGATTTAGGAAAGAGAAGCAGAACAATCTGCTCAAATGTATTTTGTTTCCAAAAGCAAGGATTAAAAACAGCACTAATAAGCATGGAATTAGTAGCTAAGGATCCATAAACAATTCTGACAGTAACTTCAGGAGCAGGTATGGAGATCTGCTAGGGAGAGGTGAAGAAATACTTATGAGAACAGAAAGGGAACAGCAAACAGATTTAGCAGCACAGAGGACCATGTTTTACCAGGGGTCAGTGACTCATCAGGGTTTAATATAAATAGGACTGAAAGTAGGGACTGGAGTTTAAGAAAAGCCAATCATGAAAAATGCTCATTTAAAGAGCAAGGAATTGCTAGGCCTGCAA